GTAATGTCTCTTTTGCTGTACAGAAGCTCTTTAACTTGATGTAGTCCCATCGATTTATCTTTGCCTTCACTATTGTGGTGTTGATACCCAGCCTTCTTAATGTGGGCTTGGACCTCCACCCTTCTTTCATCTACAGTATCAGTCAGGCTAATATTTTAGCAGGTAAAGGTCTCTTTGGAGGCCGTTGGAAGACTCTATCTTAATTAGCCTTGATAACTGGCAGGACTGATTTTCATCAAAGGAAGAGCTCTTTGCCATGACATCTGAAAGTGCCTGCTATACTCTGAATGCAAATTGCCACAGTGTTTACTATTAGGGGTACTGAAGTGTGATTTATAAGCACAGCTTTCTTCTCCAGCTTTTCAAATAAGATTTCAAATAGGATACAAAATAACTTATCAAAGCAGCATGGATAGTCTCAGGTTCTGAATGCAAGTTAACAAAGGAAAAGGCTGTAGCTTGATATCTAATGCTTGTGTAGAGAACTGCCCCCAACCCCCTCCCCAAAATAGCATGCAGTGTAGAGCAGAGCTGGAAGTGCACTGGGGACCAGCTACCTCCACTTCTTTTGAAAAATTACTGGGTTTTGCATATCCTCTCCGAGGCTCACCATCCTCAGATAATACCTGAGTGAGTTCCATTACAGCTTTGTGGTCTCCAACTCAACTGATCTCTGCTTTAAATATTATCGACCCTAAAGTGACAGCTCTAGTAGAAACCTCGCATTTTCTTTCAGGTTCTGGATCAGCTCTTTTATTTTTAGTATACAGCAGCATGCTCCTTAGAGGTGGCGTAGGGTAATGGGTCAGGCTGCCTGGGCTCATATCCTGCCACTTCTGCTGCTTTACTGTGTGACTCTGTACAAGTTCTGCAAACGCTCCATGCTTCATCTACTGACTGAGGAGGAGAGCACCTCACCCCTGTGCCATAGTGAAGAATAATGAGCTAATACAAGTAACAAGTGAATCCTTGCGACAGGAAGCATGGAGCCTAGTAGGCATGTCAGTGCTTGTTAATCTATGTCCTACTGTGTTGAAGCTTTCCTTGGAAAGTGCTTTGGCATTTTTCTTTGTTTTGTAGATTATAAACTTGTGAGGTAGTGTTATCTTTGAGATAGTGCTCGCACACTTTGTAATTGCAAAACACATATCAGGAAAGACCTGAGAGTCTGCTTTTCCAACACGCTCCTAAGTGATGCTGATACTGTTGGCCCAGGTCATACTTTGAGTTAACACAGTTTTAAAGAAAACTTTAATTAAAATATGGTTAGCAGGGCCCTCCCTGGTGGTGCAATGGGTTAAAGCACAGTGCTATGAAGCTAGATGTAGCCGCTGCAACATGAGTTCGATTCCCAGCCAGGGAGCTGACCCTCATGGTGTAGCAGAGCTCTCCTGACCCACCCACTGCTCCCCTCAGCAGTGTACTTTGTCGTTCTGCCTGTTCTGCTCCCCACTCTGTCTTTGGTGAATCCTCTCACCTCCCCTGCACCTCTGGCAGGGTTTTGTATGTATAAATAGATAATTTTTGTATACATAAATAGATTTTTAGATAGCTTTGTATGCATAAATAGATAAATCTTTAAAATATATATATGTTTATCAAAGAGATAGAAATGTAAATATTAGAGTGGTACAATAACTTGGGAGGAAGATGAAATGTGGTCTCATTTCACTGGAGAGAATGTTTTCTTCATGTTGCACTGAGTGTTTCTGAGCTGATGTTATGCAAGAAAAACAAACACTTATAAGGACGTGGGTATGGATTCTTACCAATGGATGAAAATCACTCAAACTCTAGGGTAACCCAGTTTGAAGATGGTAATTGCTGAAAGACTGAGACAAACATTCCCCAGACTGTAAGTACATTAATAGACATTTGACATTATAAGGATCACTTAGATATTACTTTGTATTTGTTCTCTGTGTATTTGCTTGAAATTTACTCCTTGATGTTGTTGGAACCACTGCCCAGCCCATCCTCTTTAAATAAAATTTCACTTTAAATAACCAGAAGTACATTTGTTTCCCAGACTGAAGTTCTATTTACTTTGCAATGTTCAAAGGGTGAAGTTTCCTTTTTCTAAATATTTGATTGGAAGCCCAGAATCCAAATTGATAGTTCTGCCCTCTACTCGTGGCTGAGGGAGCTGTCACTCACAGACAGTCCTTGCTAAGATGTATGTGTGTCTGCACTTGAAAGAGCTCCAGGAAGCCTCTGCTGGCTACATAAAGTTAAAGTGCAAACCCAGATCTGCAGCAGAAATTAGTGAGAGGTGACAAGCACTAAATAGGAGCGCAAGCTAAACCAGAGAAGACTAGGTGGGTGTGGGGGAGGGGGGGAGGTATCCCCCCCACTCCAAGCCAAAGCTAGGCGCCAAGCCCACCCAGTGCACACTTGTGTGCTCTGTTCCAAGACCAGGCAGAGCATTCCCTGGCCAGCCCGTGTTTACTCTGTCGTTGGAAGTCCTCTGTGCTTTAGAGCCAAGAGTTGAAAGAGATGTGGGAAGATTGAAGACACCCTAGGACTGACTTGATCGGGGGGTAGGGGAAGGTGAAGAAAAGAAGCCCCATCATTAGTCCTCAGAACTAGGTGGTACTTCCTTTCTTTGACAGGGACTGGAGGATCCCAAATGTTGGTTTCAGACTCAGACTGCATCCAGAAAGACTCAAAAGGAAAAGAATTCTGTCCCTATCTTTCCCTAAAGCAAAAAAATATATCTGGAACCCAGAGATTCTGTCTTCATTCTCCCTACTCTTCCCTCTAGATATCAAATAAGAACCTCTGGCCAGTCTTCAGACCAGGCTGAGACTCTTCCTGCCATACCTAGTGACTATTGACTTTTATGGGAATGAAGCATTTATGTCTAATTAACAGAGAGCACAGTAATGATTTCTTTCATTAAGCATAACATTAACCATGCTATGACTTATTATTTTTTTTACTCCATCTCAGCTTTAAACTGGTTTTGAAAAACCTGAATGCCCATACTTTGATATGCATCATTTTTCTCACAAATTAATAAAAATAGACAACATTTGGACTTTACTGGTGTAATAGGCATTTGAAAGAACAGTGTTTCTTGGGTGTATACAGATCCAGGAATTAAAAAGGAACAACTTATTTATCCCAGGAATCCAGTCTCTCAGAAACCTCAGACTTTTGAGTTGGAATAATTTGGAGTCAGAATGCTTGCAAAAAACACTCTTCCCCCAACCTTACCCCCCAAAGTCTTAAGTGGTAAATAAGCACCCTGAAATAAATAGACAGATGCAGGTAGGAGGAAGGGGGTGCTGCTGCTTGCTAGCAAAGGGCCTTTTCTGAGCATACTGTGCACCAGAAGTTGTTCTATGTGCTTTGCACATAAGATGTGTTTCGTTGATTCATCTTCATAATAACTCAACCAGGTAGAAACTACTAGTTTGCACTTAAAAAAAAAAAAAAGACTTATTTATGCATACAAGAACTGGGGTTCAAGCCAGATATGTGGGGGGTGAGAGGATTCCC